GATATTGGTATTGATATTGATATTGATATTAGTATTGATATTGATGTTTATATTGATATTGATATTGATATTGGTATTGATATTGATATTAATATTGATATTGATATTGATATTGATATTGATATTGATATTGATATTGATATTAGTATTGATATTGATGTTTATATTGATATTGATATTGATATTGGTATTGATATTGATATTGATATTGATATTGATATTGATATTGATATTGATATTGATATTGATATTGATAATAATATTGACATTGATATTGATATTGATAATGAAAACGATATTGATATTGATATGGATATTGATATTGATATAGATATAGATATTGATATTGATATTGATATTGATATTGATATTGATATTGATATTGATATTGATATTGATATTGACATTGATATTCATGCTCATATTCATATCTATATTCAAATTTATATTGGTATTCAAATTCATATTGGTATTCATATTCATATTGATGTTGATATTGATATTGGTAATGATATTGATATTGATATTGATATTGATGCTAATAATGATATTGATATTGATATCGATATTGATATTGGTAGTGATATTGATATCGATATTCTTATTGAGATTGATATTGGTATTGATATATGATATTGATATCGATATTGGTAGATATTGATACTGATATTGATATTGATGTTGATATTGATATTGATATTGATATTGATATTGATAATGATATTGATATTGGATTGATATTGATATTGATATTGATATTGATATTGATATTGATATTGATATTGATATTGATATTGATATTGGTATTGATATTCACACTCGTATTCATATTTATATTCAAATTCCCAGCATCGTTTAGTTTATATCTTGGCAGATAACACTCGCAAATTAAAAAAAATGAACAAATCATATTGGGAACAAAGTAGCTTCATCTTGAAATAAAAACACCATGCATACCCACAATTTGGAAGTACACTAGAGACATTGAAGCACAAGAGTATTTTACCACAAGAGAGAATTAATCGCTACCACACCCGTGAAACGTTCCCAGGCCATCGATAGAACCACAGGTCAGTATTGCAATACGGCAGTGATCTTTATTTGTATCTCTAGTCCTCCAGTTGGCCAACATTTCCATAACGTACATTTCTATATACACTGACGACTATTGTCACCATTTTACACACGAGGAAAAGCTGGATTTTTATACTCTACTACTCTGTTGAAATGCCAAGACCCTTGCCTCAGTCAAACGGTAGGTTAATTGATAGCCAAACTGTAGAAACATCGCTGTGAGAAGGTTACGTTTTCACTGAACCTAGTTGCTCTACGGAGAATGAAAACCAGCCGACCCTTCGAAGATGGCCTATAATGCAATCGCGCCGCTCACCCGAGGTGTGCTTGAACTTTGACTTTGACTTTGGACGCCTTGGGTGACTCCTGCATATCAAATTCATAACTCATCAATCGGGAGATATTTGCAGCCGTAGTTATCCACTGTACTACATGTGTGATGCCGCAAGGACGCCACCAATTAAACACATCCATGACAAGATTCGACGTTTCATCACGCAGCGATTTCTTATGGCTTATGCCGATACGATTTATCGTCGTGGGCTTATGATATATCTCGAAGCGCTGCTCAACTATGTCAATTACCTCACCACCGGCTTAGCTGTACAAGTACATCTATAGCAGGCTGGTGTGCACGTATGCTTCTCTACAAGTGACATCGCTTCCGTGAGCACATACTTTTGCATTTCACGGCCGAAGCCATTGCACTGATCGAGATGCTACTCAGCAATTGGTCACAAGGCAAATACACCAGTCTTTAACCACTACTGCCGTTTGTGTTGTGCATGTTCCCATACATATCGCCTCATACATCTCGACTATCAGCGCCTCGGCATCATATGTACAACCATATCAAACCCTAGAAACTAGGGTTGGCTAGCGTGGAAAAACACACCCTAGTCCGACAGCACGCCATCGAGCCAATCCTCGAGATCATCCTCTTGCGCTGCCTTCGACCGACTAATCTGGTCAGGTTTCATACTTGACGCGAATTGCTTCTCAACCACTCCCCCGTGATCGGCCGGCGCTGTGGTGTCTGAGCCAAGATTTGCACACGACTGAACTATGCCCCTAGTGCCGCCACGTGGTGTGTGCAGAGGCGAGTTACTCAAAGAAGTCTCAGGAGTGTTGCAGTGGTATGCCTCCGACTGAGCGAAGACGCCACTCTGCGGGTTGGAAGGCTCGTTTAAAGCCGCGGCTGGGCCTGACTTAGCGGAAGAGGGTGTGTTTGTATGTGGTGTTTCTACACATATTCGCGTGTTCAGGCATGGCTGGGTGTATGTGCATGCATCTGTATGCGACGGCGTGGCCTGTACAAGCTGGGGAATATAGTTGGGATACTTTGTCTCTCTCCGTTTTAAGTTGTGGTTTGCAAGCCATTGCCCCTCTTCAATCTTTGCGTCCGAGAAGATCCGCCCTGGTCCTTGACACAGGTTAGTGTTCAGGACATGACACAGCGGTATGCACTCTAACGCAGACATCAACTCAGCCCTGTGCGAGGTTGATGGAGAAGCGAACTGCTGAACTGTATGCAATTATATGCACTTGATGGCTACACCCGAAATCCATGGAAAAGGGTGATGTCCCTTCAGATAGAAATGGAAATGTAGGCACGAATTGGGGATTCATGTGCTTAGACGCTACGGAACATCAGGACATCGACACTTTAATTGTAAACGCATACACACACACACACACAACACCACAGAATGCAGAGGTGTGCGGGATACTGCAATGTCCCATAAGGAGTAGGCAGATACATAAACTAGTTTACATACCAGTGGAACCGATCTGCGGCTACTTACAAGCCAGCTACACACACTCGGTACTACGTACAACACGCCAACAAGCCTGTACAACACTACACGTACACACCCAATATAATCCATGGACATGGCTATGCATATACAAACGGTGGGGGAACTAAGCCAGAACCACACACAACCCGCTTAAATATACCAACACGTACACGTACGAGTAGGCGGAAACACACATACTGGAAAGGTTCATCTAAGGATGACTCATCCGAGTAATGTGACGTTGACCAATCAGTCTCGTCGGCCATTCGATAGTAAGAACTGACACCGGCAGACGAAGCAGCTATGCAGAGGGTGTGCAGACCCAACAATAGACAATGCAAGTGATGAGCAACGGACACACAGAGGACAGGCGCATGTGCATTCTATGTTTTATGGCCTATATGCCAATGGAAGGGGCAACCGATGGGGCCTAGATGCGAATAGAGTGGCTTGCGGGTAACCTATACTCACGGTGTGAAAGTGAGATCGAGATGATGAAGAAGAAGATACGATGGCGAGCATGTAGTGGAGGCGTTATAAACGCATACAGTGCTCCAGAGAGTTAAATGAGGTGGCTGGAGTAGGGTAGTGCAATGCTGTATCACACACAGACCAAGCCCTTCTCCAACCGAGCGAGTAGTAAATAAGCCGGGTGACTAACCCAACCAATGTAGTGCTAGATTGGTTGGTTCAGCCATTCACATAGTCTACTATAGGCCAAGCTCTCAAAGTAGCACAATCGATACACACAACCGCAACCCTAAGCGCACCTCAGTTCACCACACACCACCGCTACACACCGCAAGCCGTCAGACTGTGTACATCGCAAACAGCCACCCACTTTCTGTCTGTATCATTTAATGTTAGGTGAGTCTCTATTATTAAATGCAATGGTGATACAAAATATGTACATCGAAACAGCCATCCCCTTTCTGTCTATATCATTAAATGTTAGGTGAGTCTATATTATGTAATGCAACGGTGATACAAACTATATACATCGCAAACAGTCACCCACTTTCTGTCTGTATCATTTAATGTTAGGTGAGTCTATATTATTAAATACACAGGTGAACAAACTATGTACATCGCAAACAGTCACTCACTTTCTGTTTATACCATTTAATATTAGGTGAGGCTATATTATTAAATGCAATGGTGATACAAACTATGTACGTCGCAAATAGTTACCCACTTTCTGTCGCTATCACATAATGATAGGCGAGTCTATATTATTAAATGCAATGGTGATACAAACTATGTACATCGCAAACAGTCACCCACTTTCTGTCTATATCATTAAATGTTAGGTGAGTCTATATTATTAAATGCAATGGTGATACAAACTATGTACATCGCAAACAGTCACCCACTTTCTGTCTATATCATTTAATGATAGGTGAATCTATATCATTTGATGCAATGGTGATTTACAACAATTCATATTGACAAACGATTTCATTATATCGCACACAGTCGCGTGTACATGACCTACCACTCTCCAGTATGTTCTCCAGTCGGGCGTGTTCACTCCTGGCATCACCTGAGTCCAATAGGGTTTAGGCTTTTAGGGTTTAGGGTTCTTGGCGGAATGAGCTTGATTTGTATTTACATCTTTGGTACACTCACGCAGACATCAATCCACGGGTCTAGTCGATGTATAGCTATTGACGGGTTGTTTATTTTAATTCGCACATCCAGGGTTAAAACCCTAAAACATCCAGGGTTGGGCGTGTGTGTACTACACACAAATGTAACACACAAATCAACATATCTAATCCATTTGTGGATCCATGATACTAAGAAGCTATCATTCATATACAGAGATATGACTCCCATAGCAACACGTACTTATGTCCACACATGTATATGTGAAACCAATACACGGTATCGTTTTATGTTTGTTATCTCTAATTGGTTTAAGTCACCATGACAAATATCCGTCACGATTGAAACAAAATGCAAACAAACGTAACTTACGACAATATATATATATATATATATATATACATATATTACATACACACACACACACACACACATATATATATATATATAACAACACACACACACACACACACACACAT